CATTTCCTCCTTTGTAATGTGGGGCTACGAATACTTACTTTCAAGGATATTGCAAAGATTAAGGAAAATCCATGTGTTCAACGAATACTTCTTGAGGAGCTATTATGTGGTGGGCACTGATCTAGGTAATTAAAAACACGTCGGTGAACTAAAAAAGTCTTTGCTTCCGTAGAGCTTAATGCTAATGACAATAGACAATAAGTAGTAAAAATAATAAATAGGTTAATTCTCTGATAGCTGAGAAGACTGGGTGTTTTAGGACACATGAGAAGGTAGAACAGGGTCCCTGTGCCCTGGCAGTGCAGGTAGATTTTTTATTTTTAAATTATTGTAATAGCATCTACACAGAAAGAGAAGGTGAAGGATAGGGAACGTGAAGAGGACTCGGGAACGTGATGGCATGGCCATGGCTTCTTGCCTGGGGCAGAGGGGTGAACAGAAGGCCAGGCTGGAGCTGAGGGGGAAGAAGGAAGAGGGAAGAGGGAAGAGGGAAGAGGGAAGAAGAGGGAAGAGGGAAGAAGAGGGAAGAAGAGGGAAGAAGAGGGAAGAGGGAAGAGGGAAGAAGGAAGAGGGAAGAGGGACACACCGGGGCTCCATTCCCTCCATCCCCCTGAAGTGCCTCTGGCACCTGGATCCCCCTTCCACCCTGACCCCTAGGATTCCACCTCTTGTCCTGCTCCTGGCTCTCGTGACTCCTTGAAAAGATTATTTTTCCCTGACAGAACCTTAAACTGGATGGTGTTGAGGCCCTGACAATAGTAAGGTGGTGAGGGAAGTTTTCATTGAGGTGCCGAGGCGAAGAAGCCCTGGAGCAGAGGGACAAACGATGCATGTTTTCATAAACTGCTCTCCCTGCTGTTTGGGGAGCAGACAGAGGGGCCCGGGTAGAAAGGGAGACCACCCAGGAGGCTATGGCAGTGACCCAGCCTGTTACAGAAAACCACAGAACAAAGCAATACTTAGAGAAATGGAGTTACATTTATTACGCGCTGGACCAGAGGAAAATGTATCTCAAATTCTGGGCCCCAACGTACAGGAATTCTCCCTATTTATATGATCCTATCCTCTCTGTCTCCCAAATATGGAGAGTTTCCGGCCCTATTTTGCAAGTTCTTAAAGAGCCAGTGTATACTAGGGCCTTGAGACCTCAACCAGAGGCCTGGCCTGGCGCCAGCACTGATGACCTTGTCTGGGGAAGGTTAAATCCACAGAAGCCAAATAGCAGAGTTAAAATTTCAAATAGCAGTTTTCATACAAGATGGATGCTTCAAGTTCAGGGAGGCAGCGACAGCCTCCAGGACAGCACCCAGCACATGACACAAAGGCTCCAATTAGTACTGACCACTTGCCTGTTCTGTGCCAACTAGAAGGGTCAACCCCGGCCAACCCCCAGGGGCAGGGTGCTGATCAGCAGCCCAGAAGCTTGAGGCTAGGGGTCAGGGTCAGGGAGTGGAGGTCAGCCAAGTCTTCCCTTTGGCCAGCTCCTGACAAGCTTACTGACATCCAGAGAAGATGTGGGACCCGAGTAGTTTCCCTCAGTATTTTCTCTGCTATTTTCAGCAAAGCCCACACACAGCTGACCCCATTTCCTCTCTGCCAGACGAGGCTCGCAGCATCTCGTAGGTCCCAGCTGTCCTTTGCCTGGGTCGGTTACAGGCAGAAGTCCATCATCCTGCATGGGGCCTCTGAGCGAGTAACAGGTTTTGCTGGGTGTAGAGCAAGCACTCAATAAAGGTGGGCTGGTTCCCAGCCCCTGAGAAACATGAGATGAGAGACAAGCAGCACCTCACAGAAGCCTGACCCGGCTCCAGAGACCTGCTCACCCCCCTCCTGGCCACTCCAGCAGCCTCCACGCTGGTTTCCTGTCCCCTTCGCAAGGCACCCACTCGAATGCTCCCGCCACCATGCGCTGTCATGCTGTTCCCTTGCTCAGCAGCTTCCGGCAGCTTCCTCTGGCCCCACACAACACACTCAGCATCACTCTGCCTGGAAGTTACACGACAGACTTTCAAAACCTGCCCTGTAACTTCCCAACTTCTCTCCAACTACCTCTGTAAGCTCATTCTTTCTCCCTATTCTCCCCTCTCTGATCTCTCTCCTTCTCTCTCTTTCTCTCCTCTACTCCTCAGATTTGTCTGACTTACAGGGAATATCCTCCCACTCTCTCTCTCTCTATTCTACATTCCATCTACACTCAGGGCCCACTGTACTCCTTCTCCACAAAGCCTTTCCGATCACCTGTCACAGCATTAGCTCCACGCGGCTCAGCCACCCACTTGTGAGGTGGCCTCCTCACCTGTGCTGGGACCATGGCATGTGTGAGTTTCCCCCTCTGTGCCCAGCTACCTCAGGACCTTTTGCATATCAGACAATCAACAGATGCCCAGACCACACAAGTCTAACTGGGCTGCCAGACCTTCACAAGCTCCTCTGACACAACCCCCTCCACTCCTCTGCCCACAACCCCCTTCACTCCTCCGCCCACAACCCCCTTCACTCCTCTGCCCACAACCCCCTTCACTCCTCCGCCCACAACCCACTTCACTCCTCCACCCACAACCCCCTTCACTCCTCTGCCCACAACCCCCTCCACTCCTCCACTCACAACCCCCTCCACTCCTCTGCCCACATCTCCTCCACTCCTCTGCCCACAATCAGAAACTATGCAGGCCAGACGAGAGTGGTAAGAAATATTTAAGTGATGAATAGCAAGAACCTACAACCAAGATTACTCTACCCAGCAAAGCTATCATTCAGAATTAAAGGTCAGATAAAGAGCTTCACAGATAAGAAAAAGCTAAAGGAGTTCATCACCACCAAACCAGTATTATATAAAATGCTGAAAGGTATTCTTTCAGAAGAGGAAGAAGAAAAAGATAAAGATAAAATTATGAACAACAAATACATATCTATCAACAAGTGAATCTAAAAATCAAGTGAATAAAAAAATCTGATGAACAGAATAAACTGGTGAATATAGAATTAAGGGCATAGAAAGGGAGTGGACTGACAATTCTCGGGGGGAAAGGGGTGTGGGGGTGTGGGAAGAGACGACAAACATTGTACACCTATGGATGAGTACAGTGGGGGGTGGGTAAGGCAGAGGGTGGGATGGGAACTGGGTGGAAGACAAAAAGAGGGGCAATTGTAACAATCTGAGCAATAAAGATTTATTTTAAAAAATAAGACGTGAAATATTTGCTGACAGGAGTTTCAGAATGAGAAGAAATTATTAAATAAAGAGGCTGAGAAAATTTGCCAGAACTGAAAGAGAGGAGTATTCAGACTGAAAGGAGTCACCAGGAATCCTGAATCATGAATTTTAAAAAGAGGCATTGTGGAATTTCAGAAATAAATTGTATAGATAAAGAGAAGTCCCTAAACCTTCCAAGGGGTGAAAAGAGGTCACTTGCGAAGAAATGGGAATAAAACAGCATGAATTTTTCAATCGCTATCCTGGAAGCTGGAAGACAACTAACTGATGTCTTCAAAATTCTGAAGGAGAATGATTGTCATGCTAGAATGTTCTCCTCAGCCAAACTGTCAATTAAGGCAGAGTGCAGAGTCACAGTTTTTCAGATATAAAAGTACTCAAAATGTTCTTCCCATGTCCTCCCTCTCTTCCCCAGGAAGCTACTGGAAGAGGTATTCCACCAAAATGGAAGTGTACAAACACGAAAAGGAAGGCCCAGAGCTGGAGGCAGGTGGGCCCCGGAAGGACATGTTCTTGGGAAAATAGAACTGAAGGGCTGGAGTCTTTAGGATTGAAAGGAGGACCTCTAGAGGGTGGAGTGAGAATGAGAGATGGGACAAAGAAAACTATGCTAATAAGGAAAAAAGAGGCAAACATTAACTGCAGATAAAACAAAGTTTAAAAACAGAAAACATAGTCATGATACATCCAACTTGACTCTACAGTAAATGTTATTTATAAAATTATAATGTGAATACTGAATATCCGTAGACCCCCAAACCATGATAACTATCTTGGGACGGTGAGGAGAGTTGGGGAGAGAAGCATGTTTCTGGGGGTGGATATAGGAGAGCTGGATTCTCAGCTACCCTAATAGATAACACCAAAAAAATGAGTTGAGAAATAGCAGTATAGATAAACACGTTAGTGTGAAATACAGATTTCTATCTGAAGAGACAGCTGTAAGTATTTGCTTCTGGGGAACAGGGATGGGAACTGAAGAGGGAGCATGGCAGCACACTGTTTTTCCTTACAAATGTTTTAGTACTATTGACTTTTTGAACTACGCACACACATTACCTTTAAAAATGTGAAATTAATTTTTTAAGTTTTTGAGATAAAGTTTATGAATTAAAAAAAAAATACTTTGGTACATTAACCATCAGTCTCTGTATCATTAAAGTTGCCTTATCCTACATCCCCCAAACCAAACACAACCATCAATATTTCAATTAGCTCTAGTTCAAGTTCCTACATACTCTTTGAAAAAATTAGGAGGTCAGTGGTGGAAAAGGGGGGGACATCTATAATACTTTCAACAATAAATATAAATTAAAGTTTAAAAAATTACAGTGTCTTAGCTTAATCCCCACCATCTGCCCACCCCGCCCCCCTTCCCACCCTCAACTTGAACTTTTGGGGAGTAGCATACTGGTAATTATTAATCAATTCTTAGGGGGGAAAGAGTCCTATTTTGTTGCATTTGCCAATTTCTGTGGTGTAAATATTCCCGAAGTGGCTGATTTCAAGCTATCACTATGCCGTCCCTGAATGTGGACATGGAAAGAGGGACACACATAAGCTCCAGCAAACTACTGCCTTTGGGCCTCTCCAGCCTCACCAGCCGCCATGCTTCCCACCAGACTCTGTGCGGGAGAGACCTGAGTAAATCCTCCCAAAGCCAGAGACCCACAGGGGGACGCAGTCGCAGTAGAAGTGGGTGCTGAAGGAAAAAGGAGTGGTCTGGCTGCAGGGAAAAGGTGAGGAATTGGTGGCTTCCTTCCTTCCCCACCTCCAGCAGAGTTACCTGCTCATTGGTGACCCCCGGGCGCAGGGTCCCGTGCTTATAGTCCTCCAGCAGCTGCACGGCCTCTCGGAGACGTCTCTGCAGGGAAGAGAAGGGGGACACTGAGGGGCACAGACCCAGGGCTCCATTAACCCTTTCCCATTCCGGAAGGCATCTGTGTTGATCAAGTATTGACAATAGCACAGTGTGCCAGGCCTGCCCTCCAGTTCATCGGACACGTGCTGCACAACAAAGAAGGATGCAACCTACACGTCCTTTCGTAGGGAATTGGCCAAGTGGCTGTGCGATAATGATGCCATGAAACATTATTCGGCAGCTGAAAAAGTGAAGTAGATCTACATGCGATGCTATGGCCATAACTACCAAGATATTTCCTGAGTGAGAAAGCGAATTGCAGAGCCATATGATACCGTGCATTGTACCAAACAAAACACACACACACACACACATAAATACACACACACCAGTGTTTTCTATGGGAATATGTATGTGTGTAAATGAATCCAAAAAAAAAAAAAAAAGCTTTAGGAGGAAACCACCCCAAACTGGTGATGAGGGTTATGTTGGGGTCAGAGGTATGGGCCCGACTTGTCCAGGAGTATCATAAGAAACTAATCTTAATTGCAATCCTGAAAGTTTTTATAGAGAAAACATATTTATGTAATACTGCTATAATTTCTTTTCAAGATTTTAAAAACACTAGCAGAGATTTACATACTAACGTGCATATGGCTACAGTAACTGATGGGGAAAGGGAGAAAATAAAAGAGGATAAGAATTGTGTGATTTTTAAAAATTTAAAAGCTAAAGAGACAGTGACTGGGATAGATGGCCACCTCTGTCCACCAACACATCTGTACACTAGTAAGTATGATCACAGCAACACTACTGAAATAGTCTCAAACTGCAAACAATTCAAATGCCAATAATAGGCTGAATAAATTGTCGTCTATGTACACAATGAAATATTATACAACAATTTTAAAAAGCAAATTACAAATACATGTTACAACGTAGATGAATCTGACAAACATAATGTAGCCAAATGTGTTTTCCAAAAATGGCCACCCCAATTAATCCCATTCCCCATGCTCTTCTAGAACCTTCTCACATCCTCTATGCCCCCAAACCTTGATCCAGGGAAGATTGTCATGGCTACCTCAACAAACAGAGTTTGAGGTGAGGTCATAAAAATGCCTTGCACCTCCACCTTGTTTTCTTGCGATGGTTGCTCTCTGGGAACTCAGCTGCCATATTGTAAGGAAGCCCAAGCACCCCATATAGACAACCACACGTAGAGCGACTGAAGGCCCGGCCCACGGCGCCAGCTGAACCACCCGCGGATGGGCAGCACCAGCTTGCTCACCATGCAAGAGAGACACCTTGGAAAGGACCTTCCATCCCCCTGTCAGGCTGCCCTCGCTGGTGCCCCCTCTGAGGATCCGTGAGCTAAACGATTGACTGTTGTTGTTTTAAGCCACTATATTTTGGGGTGATGTCTTACATAGCAATAGACAGCTAATAAGCATGATAAGCAAATAAGTTAGATGTAAAAGAATATAGTATACAAAGTTAAAAAATAAAAAAATTTAAAAAAAACAGGCAAAACTCACCTGCGGTGGTAGAGGTCATTAGAGTGCTACCTTTAGGGGTACTGAGTGGGAAAGGACATGAGGGAACCCTCCAGGGTAATGGAAATGGAAATGTCTGATGTGGTGGTTACATGGGTATGAACATATGTCAAAATTCAAAAAGCAATACACTTAGGATATGTGCATTTTACTGTATGTATGTTGTATTTAAAAAAAAAATTAGTAATAAACAGACAACTGTGATAGAAGGTAGCTTATGTCAAAAACAGGTGAGGGACCCAGCCATCAGGGATGCCCAGTTTGGGCAAAAAAAAAATCAAGGGAAGCCACCATTCCCCTGCTAAAAAAAAAATAATAATAATAAATAAATAAATAAATAAATAAATAAATAAAATTATATATATATATATATATATATATATATATATATATATATATATATATATATATAATTGGTTTCAGAGAGGAAGAGAGAGGGAGAGAGAGAGAGGCATCAGTGATGAGAGAGAATCATGATCTGCTGCCTCTGCCTCCTGCACACCCGCTACCGGAGATGGAGCCCACATCCCAGGCGTGTGCCCTGACTAGGAATGGAATCTCGACCTCCTGGTTCATAGGTCAACGCTCAACGGCTGAGCCACACTGGCAGTGTACCATTCCCCTTTGACAGAGGAGGGACGAGGCCGGCCGGAACAGGAGTAGACAAGACCTCAACGTAAGCCCATTCGTTGGTCTAGAGGAGGCGGCAGCGGGAGAAGGGGGCGTGGGAAGAGACTGAGCATAAACTGTGCACCTATGGATGATACAGTGGGGGTGGGGAAAGGGCAGAGGGTGAAGCAGGAACCTGGTGGAGGGGAGCAATGGAGGTGGGGGGGGGGAGTGAGGAACATTTGTAATAATATGAACAATAAAGATTTATTTTAAAATAAAATAAATAAATAAAAATTAAAAAAATAAAGGAGGCAGCAGCACCAGGAAGGGCACCAGTGGAACAGACAGCGGGTTTGCTGAGCCAGCTGACAGGGGGGCCTCGCAGGGTGAAAAACGAACAGCAGCCTCCTGTCCTGTAACAACAGGGATAACTGCCTGTCCGGACGCCCTGGCCCCGCAGGCCTGTGTGAGAGGCACCCGAGGCCCGTGCCGGTCTCATCCAGGACCTCAGGGGCCAGGAAAACCTGCTTGGGGGCAGCTGACTGCTGGGCAGTACTGTCCCTGCCCTTTCAAATAGATGCGTATCAATTCGAACATCCAGAGAGCCTTCCCAGGATCTGTGCTTCCAAACTGGAGACAGCTTTGTGTTTTCAGGGTCCCCCTTTCAATTAATTCCCGCTGGGTAGAGGAAATGCCAAGAGAGAAAAGAAAAGAAAAGAAAAAAGAAAATGAAAAAAAAAAACAGAAAAGCACAAAAATCATTTTAAATCACCTATAAACACACCTCTGAGATCACTGCTGCAAAAGTAGGGTGATACTCCTCCAGTCTCATACATTTGCTTTTCACGTGGACCGTTGTTTTAACTTGCTTACAGTCATGCAGATAGACAGTGGGCAGCTTGGTCAGACCCTTTCTCCGTCCCCCAACCACCACCCCCAAAGCCTCCTGGTGCTGCCGCAGCCCCCACCCCAGCCCGCTTCCTCTCTCGGCCGCAGCTCCTGCCCGCAGACAATGAGTGCTCCACTTTCCAAGCTGAATGGTGAATGGCCCCGTGTTCTCATTATTCCCGCCCCAGGGATTCTCCCGAGTTCCTCCAACAACCTGGCCAGCTTCCATCCCATTGGACACGGTCATCAAAGGGAGGCCCCCAGCCACAAGAGTGGGTTCCCAAGAGCTCTCCCATCTTGGCGTGGGTGGAGGGGGAACTAAATCCAAAGTCCCTGAAGACAAAGCTGAGGATCCAGGACTGCAGGAAGCTAGAACCTGCTCTTCTGCTTTGGAGCCTTCCTAGCCCTCAGCCAGGCCCCGGTCAGAGGCCCCGGGCTGCTCTCCGGGACAGACAGGGGCCTAGGCCACTTACCTTAGGCCCCTGAGGGCTGGCTGCTCTGGGGCCATTTTCAGGAGGCTTGAGAGATAGGAAAGCCAACCCTCCTCTCACCCTATGCAGTGCGGGGCTTGGCGGAAAGCATGCGAGGGGCAGGGAAGATGGAGGCCAGTGGGAGGGTGAACATTGCAGGAAGTTCGCTCAACCAGGAACAGGCAGCCGGGCCCTGAATGCAGACGGGCGAGGAGCCCGGCCGGCTGGAGGGAAGACTGGGAGCCCAGGACGCCCAGGCTGCTGCCTCCCAGACTCCACCGCCGCCTGCCTGCCTCTGGCTCACCTGCCAACAGGTGTCCCCGGAGGGTGTCTCCGGGGGGCATGGTCTCCAGAAGGTCCCTCGGAAACGCTGGCACCTGGGAGGTGTGTTCCGGGGGCAGGGGATTTGGCCAGAGGAGAATCCTGGCCCCAGATCCCCAGGGGAAGAGGAAGCAAAGGGACAGGCATGGAGTGTTAGGGTGGTGGACACAGAGGGGGAGACGGAATGGGGACAGAGGGACACAGGAAGGGAAGGGCGCAGGAAGGAATGCTGGGCGTCATCAGAAGGAAAACTAATCTGTTTAGGGGTGCAGAGAGGGTAGCCTAGCACCCCCACCCCAAACTAAGTGCAGCCTGAATATAATCCCTGCTTGGTTAAGGGAGGATGGCAAACTGATATACATACTTAACGTAGGAAAATATCTAACATGTTAAATATCTGATGGGAGTGGCAGCATCTGGCCAGGATGGGAGGAAAGCCCAGAAATATTTCACCCTCCCTTTGGTGCAGGGACCTCCATTCTCCAGCTGGTACCTCTATGTTACCACCTCCTGAGTTTGCCCACACTGTTCACGTCACCAAGACACCCTTCCTCCCCAAGTCCATCGCCAACCCCATCCACCCTCCCCCCACCACCAGGCTCACTTTCCAGGAATCTTCCGGAAACGCCCCCTCCTGTGAACAGGCAGAGAGCACGGGCCTTGCACCTCTCTGAGCTGCCTGCCCACTTCCTGCCCGTGTGCTGACATTCCCTGTCAGACCGCCAGGTGCAGGGAGCGGGGAGCGGGGGCCTGGTTTTAGGTTTCTCTGCAGAACCTCCCCAGCCCGTCACCACCCCAGGGCCACATATAATGTGTGTTTAACAAAAATGCATGACTGAGGCTTCTAGAGGGAGAGGCAAAGGGCATGGTCAAGGTGAGGAATCCAGGTTCTACAGCATCAGACCCATGTCAATGGACGGGGATGCAGGTTTTACACATTCCCCGGATTCCGAGAGTCTGTGCCCTGTTCACAAAGGACACAGATAAAAACACGCCCTGTGTGTGTGTGCGTGTCATGGCATCATGTGGCCACCCCCTTTCTGAGGAACTGGGGCCACAGAGCGAAGGGCATGTCCTCGCTCAGGGTCACAGAGCAGTGGGTGGCACTGGAAAGCCATCGCGCCCCGGTTCTGAGCCATTTCCCTGAGATGTCGAC